TAAATCTTTCTTCTGTACCTGCAAAAGGTTTCCCTGATGTTATTAAAGGTTTCCTCTGCGAAAATAACCTTTGCAGCTTGTTAATAACTGACCGTAAAAACTAAGTTCGACTTGAAACAACACCCAAGGAATTATCATTTGATGAAAATGTTATTAAAACAATATTCAGCTGAAACGTTGATTAGATAGAACTTTTGATTTTCTTTAGGTCTTGCAAACCATTTTGAAGGCGAAAAATGTTTACAACTTCTTCCAAAGAACTACTTTGCAGACTGGAAGACAAACTGAAATCAGCATTTCATGCATCTACCAGTATGTATCATTTTTTTGAATCAACAATTCGACTAGTATTTTACACTTGTTGTTGACAAATTCGTTGAAATTTCCGAAGAAAAGTTGCATGATTCTATCCATAGCACCATTTTGCGGCACTTGGACTAGAAGAGTGTATGCTTAAAAATTTTCTAAGCACCTATTCATCGTCCTCACTTGTGTGATGTTTAGAATTTAAAAGATTTTGGTTAATGCATCAATAGTTTCACTCTTTTTGTTTGCCACAAAAAAATCACCCAATTTACCACCTGCAATACATCTAACTCGTCTACGCTCATTCTGGCGACCATCTTGATGGAACAAAGTTCATTTCTAGTGATAGCCTATTATAACTGGTTTCCACTTCAAAATATCTTTTAGGAGTGCTGCCTTTCCAATAAACACCATTAAGCGATTGTCATATACCTACATCTTGTTAAAAATCTACGCATTCTCTTCATTTTTCAACATAGAGGACTTACTCAATAAATTTGCCGTAACCAGGCGGAGTCATCACTTGTCTTTCAATGTCCTGAAGAGGGCGGTTTGTTCACTGATTATGGGAGAGGAGGAAGGTTGCGTGCTAATATATAGTAAGGTGACTGGCTAGCTGGTAAAGGCAAGAGACTTTAAACCATTTGCCGTATCAGACATTCAACGAGAGGAATTTGCTGCAAAGCTAAGGTGACAATCTCATCCTTACTAGTACTAATTTGTTCCTGCGCTTCCTCAAAAATTCCGAATTTGCTAAGCACTCAAAGTCTGCTTTAGTTAATTACATTGATAGCACAGCTTGCCATAAACTGTAGGGCGTCTTTTACCCCAATACAGTACGTGTGCCCGTCTACAGATTTTTGTAAAAGTTATACAGAACGAGAAATACCTGTTAGAGCAATGCTGGTTAATGGAAACTTTTTTCTATAGTCTTCCTGGGCATCGATCGAAAGCTCTTTATAGTTGGTAAGCAAAGTAGAAGTAGCCTTGCGAACTTCTGCGATGCTTGGCACTTTGCCTGCTATTAGTTTAGACACCAACTGAATGCCGCTTTCTCGCATCTAAATTTAGTTTGTTTCTAAAGTTTTCCCTCAGGAAACTCACAGAATCGAACTTTTTGAGCGAAGGCTTGAGCTTCAGGGTTGAGGGCCGCAATCTTGTCTCTGATTATGTCGCTTGCCCGCTCGACCATATTGCCAAGTTGAGGGGATTTCTTCTTAATTTCGGCGATGAACTTGAAAAGTTGAAATGTTTTGGAACACATATATACGATAGATCTGGTTAACAATATGCACAAGTCGTTCTTCAATTGGCTCATTGCGATTTTTGAAAGTGGTTAAAAGCGCAAGCTTTTCTTCTTCAGAAAGGTTCCTTATAAACTGATTCAAATCCTTGGGGAGAAGGGCTAAAAACACACTGTCAAAAAATGATGACTGCAATAAAATATAGACACAGCACCTACCTCTATACTCTGGAGGAATGTCAGATACCTCTAATGCAGAGGCAAAAATGATGAAAGACGAAATAATGAGCGCTGATTTACCCATGGCTAAATTTACGCTACTATTTGCAGATTCCCTTTTCTCTGCAACAATGAGGGCATTGAGCAAACATGCGTTTGAACGATAGTTTTGCGTCAAATTATTATGCATTCAAACCATGTTTTTCGGTTTTGTGGTGATTAGAAACCTTGGCAACGTCCAGCCCCCGAGGAAAGGATATTTAGCTGAAACTACGACTCAATAAAAGATGCGCATTAGTGTTGCAGCTTAAAACGCTAACTCGAAACTCGCCTTTTATATCTGATTTTTCTGAAATTTGTGAAAATGTTCTATACCCGTACGGCTCTAAGAATTGTTCTATTCAAATCCGACCTAATAGCGCGAGAGATTTTTTTCTCAAAAAACGTGATCAATATCCACCTTTTGCGTTGCTGTTTTGGGTCAAAGTTAGTGTTTTGAGCATATTTTACAGGTTCTGTGGGCCATTTTTGACAGAAAAAGACGTTTTCCTGATGCTTGACGGACACGAAAGAAGCATATAAAACCAACATCTTAAGCTGCATTTACCAGTACGTATCAAGAATGAATCGCCGCTAGTGATTATCCGTTCTTTGTAAGAAACTAAAACAGTGAATTAAATTTTCCGCACATCAAGCAGTTGTGGGTATGGTCTCTTTGACATTCAAAGCGGATTAGTGATGTTATATTGTGAAATTGATTTATTCTATTGGTTGCAGATGTACCGTACCAATTGTAAGTTAACTGAGATGCATAAGATGCATGAAATACTGGTTATATCAATATATTGTTGCAGTCGTCTGTGAGCAGTCTCCAGTACGCGCATGAATGACCACCATCAAATGGAGAACTTTTGGAGAGAAGAGTAACGCCTGCTGCGCTCCTTGGAGAGCACAAATTCTGCACTGCTCCCATTGCAATGAATTTTAAGCGCGGATCATGGTTCTTTCATCAGAATCCATAAATAATACAGAAAAAGAATAGAGTGGAGTGATTGGGGTCAATGCCGCTTGAGAAGTGGCACAGAAACAATGTGGCCACGTAATGGAAGCTTGGCCCATGTACTATATTTTTT